CGATTCGGCCGGGCGGCGAGGGCAAACTCTTGACGTGGCCAAACCCCCGCCCTCCTCACCCACTTCTCCGCCGGGCGAGGGCGCTCAGTGCCCGGAAGGGGCTACCGAGGGGACAGCGAGGCGGCCCTCGGAGATCTGAAGGGCACTCAGTGTGGCACTGAAGGGGAGAAGGGCCAGTGACTGCCCATGGGGGGTGATGTGTAATGGCTCTGAGAACAGTTGACGACCGGACCCGAGAGTTACAGCCGAGAGGGGCCCTTGGCTCTTTGGGGCCACTGGCACGGTAGAAAGCCTGGGGGAGGGGAGCTGGCACTCAGCAGGGCAAGTTCATCGGAGGCGCGGCTGGCACTGTAGGGACAGTTTGGGGTGGCAATTTTGTGCTCGGAAAGTGAAGTCAGGCTCGAGGAAGGGGCACTGAGAGAGGCGGTGGAGCGCCTGGGGAGCGTCAGTCGCGGGACGGGGCTGAGAGGACTTGAAGGGAGGCAGCCCGGGACGCGGCGAAGGGAGGACGGCTCCGGCTGGGAGGGGTAGACTCGGGGCTGCGCAAGAGGGGGCGGGGGACTCCGCGGCGGCGCTGGCGACGGCCGGGGGGGGGGGGGGGGGGGGCCGGGTCAGGAGGAGGTGAGCGCGCCCGGCCACCCGCCCCGAGGGGGGTTCCCGGAGAGTTCACGGCGGGAGCGCGCTCCGGCCCTTCGACCGGGGGTGGGGAGAACGGGAAGGAAGGAGGAGGCCGCGCGCGCCGAGCCGCAGGAATGTACGGTTCGGCCCCGAAGCGCGCCCGCGGAGGGAGAGGGAGGAGCCAGGCCTGGGAATGAGGGGGTGGAGGTAGTGCAGGTCCCCGAGCTCCGGAGAACTGCCGGGCGCCCGGAACCTCCATGTTCCCCTCTCCCCTGTCTTCCTTGATACCCCTGCCTTCCTTGATACCCCTGCCTGTATCGACTTGTGTGCAAAGAGTGCTGGGGAGGGGAGGGGGAAAACTCAAAAGGAAATGCGTGTGCTTGGTTCCTTCACTCCTTCCCCCGTTCCCGACCAGGGCACGCGCCGAAGTGCAAACGCGTGCAAAGCCTCGGGGCTGTGGAGAGAGAATGCTTAACAGCATTCTCCCGAGCTAGATGTGCTTGCACAAGCGTTTGTGCAGCTATGGTTTTGTGTGCGTGCAGATAAATGCATGCGCACTGTTGCATATTTGCAGATACGTGGTGCCTACCTAGATAAATGCATGCACGGATATGTGTCTAAGCAAGCGCGCGCGCCGGGTGCGAGTGTGTGTAAGTGTGCGCTCCACTCCCAGCTCGGCTAATCTTAGTGCCCGGCCCCCTTCGCTCTCCAAGCCCCACCCCCCACCCCTCCAGGCTTCGCTTTTACAAAAGGTCTCCCCAGTGTTAGCCGCCGAGGCGCCCAGAGTGAGCCGCACCGCGGCCGATGCGGCAGTCCCGGCTTTGCGCCCCGCCCAGTCCCTTTCCCCTGCTGGGGATCCCCCTCTTCCCCGCCCACCCCTTACCCCCCATGCAGCCTGGCGCCCTATGCTAGCCTTCCCCCTCCCCCCCTCCAGGAGCGGGGCGCCGCCGGGGGAGGAGGGGGAATCGGCTGCGGGTCCTTGGTGTTCCTAGCACCCAGCTTCCCTCCAAGCCCGGTCGCAATGTACGACTGCATGGAAACGTTTGCCCCGGGTCCGCGACGGCTGTACGGGGTGTCAGGGCCCGGGGCCGGCTTGCTGCGCAGAGCCACCGGCAGCTCCTGTTTCGCCGGATTTGAGTCTTTTGCCTGGCCTCAACCCGCCAGTCTGCAATGTAGGTACCAGAGCCCAGGGGTGGGGTGAGGGGTGCAGGAGAGGCAACACCTCCCCCTTTCCGTGTGTAAAAGGTGGAACCGGGGTGCAAGCGGAGATTCTCACTCTCTCAATGTGAGAGGCGGCTGTGTAGGAAAGAGAGGTACTGGCCCTTTAAACGTGGGGACCTTAGCGACTCCTTTGGGTGTGTGCTGTAGTGTTTGGAGTGTGTGTGGTTTTTATGGTGGGTGTTTAGGAGCTGCGGTTGATGCCACTCCAGACTTTCTGGGGATAGGGAGACCGAGATGCTATTGGTAGTTTGTGCCTGCAGGTCCGTGGCCCCGGAGGGATATGGCACCCAGAACCGTGGGTGACGTTTGTAGAGTCCATGTGGGAAGTTGGGAGCGTAAAAAATATTTGCAGAGCGTGTGAATCCCTGGAGTGTGCAGCGCCTTACGTAGGCAGTGTGGGTGTGAGTGTAGGGGGGTCTCTCCACGCCGCTCGCCCTCCGACAGCGCTGGCAGGTCCGCACGGCCCTTGAGTGGGGATGTTTGTGGCGTGGGGCCGGGAAGGCGTGTGCCCCTGCGTGGCTGCGGGGGCGGTTTTGGAAAGTGCCGTGTTCGAGCGTGCATCCTGTGTGCTCTGCGTGCGGGGTGGACCGGGTGGTGCACACAACGGGGAGAGGACTGGGCTCTGGCGCCCCTCCCCCACCTTAAAAAGCAACGTTTGGAACTGTGTATAGGGTTGTATGCGGCGAGACGACTTTTTCCTACGGCTCCAACACGCACAACTTCAGTAGAAAGCGAAAAGTTTACCCAAAGTCTGTTGATGGTGGAGGGTGGCCCGCAGGAGGCAGCGGCAGAGAGAACAGGACTCCTGGGTCCCCAAATATCCATCTTCCCCTCTCTGTGAAATGGGAGATGCCAGGCCTGGGGCCCTGGAACCCCTTTCCAGAGCGGTAATAAAAAGCTGGGGACTGAGAGGCAGTAAAAATGAAGTCCAGATGAGAGGCGGCTTTGAAGCCTGGGCCGAAGTGCCTGGAGGGGTGGGTGTGGGGAGGAGCCGGGAGGGGAGCCTCGAACACCCCCCAAATTTACCCGGGGCTGGGAGTGCGCTGGTAGCCCGGTGCGGACGCCGGGGCGAGGGGCTTGTGGGCAGCTGGGAAGGGGCAGGAGGCGGGCGGGGCGGAGGGCGCAGGGGGAGTGCGCGCGCGGGGTCACCGAGCCCCCGCCAACGCGCCTCGCTCCTTGGCACTCTGCAGCGCTGTTTACGAGAGTTCGGCTTTTTTTTTTTTTCCTTTACTTTTTTCTTTACTGCTCTTTTTCCTTTCTTAGTGTATTTTTTCTTTCTTTTTTCTTTTTTTGGGGAGGGGTGCTTTGGGTTCCAGGGCAATGCTGCTCATAGATTGGAGGAGGGAGGTGGCAAGCAGGAGACCGATCTTTGGGGGTGGGATGGGGCAAGAATTAAAAGTGTGGCATTTGTAGGGTGGAGAAAGCATGGAACTGTTATTACTTTGCACCAAATCCTGGCGAATTCTTAACTTTCCTTTCACTGCCCAATAGGAAGGGGAGTTGGGGTATGTTGGGAGGGGGGCTGAGGTGCAGAGACTTTCCCAGGAGGGGTTTTTGTGAGGGCTGGGTCCTTTTTTCAGGAGCTTGGCAGTCTCAGGGACTTGGCTGGCAGTCTGTTTTTTTGCATTTCAATTTGGACCAATAATTTTGGCCTCTAGGGTCTTGGTGGGCTTCAGGCCTGCTCCACACACTTTCAGAGAGAAAGTGTGTCTGCTTTGGGGAAGGGGAGAGGTCCCTTGAGGAGAGGGCCACATGGTGTGTTTGTGGGTGTTTGCCAGAGTCCTGGTGCTGCGCTGGCAGGCTGGGGGTGTTTGTCTGGTCGTGGAGCTGCTCTCTTGCAAATGTGAAGCTGGGTGTTGTGGCAGTGACTTGTGCCTCCACCGTGTGGCTGGAGTGAGTGTGCTTTTACCCCTGCCTGTGTGTTCTCCCACTCCAGGGGCCGGTTGGGCTATGGCTGCCCATGGGTAGTGTGTCTGCTTTTGTGCCCTGTGTGCTGTCGATGTGTGAGTGTCTCCAAGGAGGTGTGTGTCAGACTGTGAGTCTGGGATTCTCAGCCCTGTGCCTCGCAGCTGGGAGCGTTTACAGCCGGTTATAAAGAGGTTGTTTGAAGCTCCGCTCAGCCTGGCCAGGAATTTCCTCAATTTCAGCAATTTGGGCTTTAAAAGGAGAAAAACCTAGAGCCCACCCCCCTCCTCCCCAGCAGGGGCCCCTGCCTAGCTCTTGTTGGGGTCTCGGCCCAGGGCTGAGAAGGGACTCTGAGCAGGCCTAGGCCAATTAGCTCTCTTGTGCCCTTCGCCCCCAGAGCCCCTGGGCTGCACTCTAGGGTTCAGGGGGCAGGCTTGTGCCAGAGGGGTGCCCAGAAGGGGTGACACTACCACTTAGACAGGAAAAGTTGTCCCCAGGGCTGTCTCCCTGCGGCCCCCAATCTTGTAATTGCCTGGCACTGCCCTATGCCAGTCTGACCGCACCCAGGCCCTTTTGCAAGAGAGGAAATGAGGCAGCGCTCTGCGGGCAGGGAGGGCGTCAGCGCTGGAGCGAGCACCACCCCACGCACTGGCCTGTGGGCCGCACTTGTGCCCTCCTAGGATATCAGGAGGGGTCCTGAAAGGCATTCCAGCCCACCCCGCATCTCTCCGCCCCAGCACCTCCTGGAGTCCCCCCCACCCCCACCCCGGTCCTGAATAGATGGGAGGCACCTTTCCTCCCCTCTCCTCGGTCTTTTTCCAACTGGAAATCTCTCTCCGGCTGGATTCTTATGCTAATGGGGTCTGCGTGTTGGAGGGTGGGGAGGGCTTCCCTCCTGTGGGGTGGGTGGAGCTAGCCCGGAACCCCGGCATCCTGGGCATTCCTTCTGCCCTGCTGGCGGCCTGGGGCGGCCCTTTTGACCAGGTGGGCCACGGCAGGTTAGAATGAAGAAGGTGCTCACGAGGTGGGTGTGTGGGCCATTCCTCAGGGAGGGTCTCAGCGTTTTCTTGCACTAATTGGGCCCTCTAGGTGTGGGCATCAGGTCCTACCGGTTGTATAATTTATAGATTTTTCCAGCCTTGGAAGATGAACTACAGACCCAAACAACCAGCAGAATCAAAAAGGTCTCCCAAGTAGCCTCCTGAATAGGAAGGGTGTCCTCCCGGCCACACATGCTCAGTGTGGTGGGGGCTGAGAACCCCCCTCCCCACCTTTGAGCTGCAATTGGGTATTGGTGTGGGAAGTTTAGGAGTGAAGACCTAGGCTCAGAGAGGGTCCAGAGGTAGCTCCCCTCCCCCATGAGCCCTGTTTACCTACTGTCACCTGACTTTTCCTGCTTTGCTACACCCCCAGCCTCTTCTGGACCTGAGAATCGGAGCAAATATCTCGGTCTCTCCTTCCCCAACTTCTCTTGAGTCCCTGCCAGGCCACTTAGACTTAGTCAGAGGACCTAAGCGGCTTGGCTCCACCATCAACTGGTAGTGTGGCCCTGCGTTGGCCACTTCCCTCTCTTGGCCTCCGTTCCTCCAGGTGTAAAATCAGGCTATTGCATATCCTCTGACCTGCTTTCTTGATACTTGTGTCTCATTTGCTCCGCTGCCTCAGTGGTTCCTGGAGAAAAGGACACTGGCAGTTATTTGTGGGGAGGGAGCAGTATGAGAGGCAAAAGCTGGAAGATTATCCACCATGTACTACTTGAGAGAAACTGAGGACCTCTTCCATCTACTGAATACCCCAGCAGGTCAACTCCCTGGGTGCTAGCTGCTACTTGCTTACTGGGCCCCAGGACTCTTGCCTCATGAGGAGGAAGGTGGTGGGAGGTAGACGACCTGACGAGGTGGACCAACATGGACGTGATAGACAGCGACTATAGAGTGCAGATCACAGCCCATAACCCCTCCCCCTGACCACTTGATAGCTGGGGAAACTGAGGCCCGTGGCAGTTAACTGCCAGTATGACCTGGACCTGGAATTTGGGGAACTGAGCAGTGTCACGAGGGCTTGGACTGGCACTGTTGTGCAGGGAGATGGCCCGACTGCAGAAGGTGCACTAAGAGTGGTTTTCTGGAAGCGTTTGCTCTGGGGATGTACGTGGTCGTTGGGACTTTAAGTCACCTTGCCAGAGATGGTGGTGGCACCGCTGAGCTGGACGGAGAAGTGGGAATGGGGTGGATGTGTATAGTGAGGATGCCTGGAGAAGTGAGGGACCCTGCTCCCTGACCCTCATGTCACTGCTTTCCCCCCAGCGGTGGAGACCCAGAGCACTAGTTCAGAGGAAATGGTGCCCAGCTCGCCCTCTCCCCCTCCACCTCCTCGGGTCTACAAGCCTTGCTTCGTGTGCAATGACAAGTCCTCAGGCTATCACTACGGGGTCAGCTCCTGTGAAGGCTGCAAGGTGTGTGAGTAGTGGGGGTGGGAGCCCTGGGCCTCGGGTCCAGACCAGAGGGGCAGGACCCTGTGCGTGAGTGGCTCTCACTGGGGAGCGGGAGGGGCTGCTTTGCACAGACTTGGCCCCTAGTCTGGCGGGGGCCTGGGCCGACCCACAAGGCCCCAGAGAGGCTGGTATACTCCCAGCATCCTGCTTCACTGCCCACCCCCACCCCCAACTCCAGGGCTTCTTCCGCCGCAGCATCCAGAAGAACATGGTGTACACGTGTCACCGTGACAAAAACTGTATCATCAACAAGGTGACCCGGAATCGCTGTCAGTACTGCCGGCTACAGAAGTGCTTCGAAGTGGGCATGTCCAAAGAAGGTATTGCGCCTCCCCAGTCTGGCCAGAGCAGGAACCCTCCGGGCCCACAGGTCGTCGCTACCCTCTTCCCGCTGGCCTGCTGCCACTTCCTTGACTTCCGGGACCTGGCCTGCCTGGCCTGCCTTGCCTGCCTTGCCTGCCTTGCCGAGCTGCTTCTGCTTCTCGGTCCCTGGCCCATCCTATTTGATGAGTGCCCGCCCATTCACCCAGGAGGCCCCACCCCTTGCCCTTCTTCCCTCTCAGTGCTTAATCCTTCCTCTGAATGAGTGAATGGGGGTTACTGGCTCTCTTTGCCTGGTTTCATGGGGAGATATTGGTGGGGGGGGCTTAACAGTCACCTCCCTGCTCCCAAGACTGAGCCTGAGGTGGATCTGGGGTGGCCCCCCTCCCCTGCACCATTGTGCTGCCAAGGCTATAAGTGGATATCCTGCCGCCTGCATATCCTGCCCCCCCCCCCAGCTCCTGCAGGGTGACAGGAAGGGCAGGATGGAGCCGAATGGCTTGGGGAGGGAGCAGGGGCTGCAGGCCCTGGGTGGGGCTGGAGAGAGCCAGCCTGTGAATGGGAGCTCATAGGAGCTAGGGAAACTGAGGCAGCGATTAGGGTCCCAGGGAACAGATGTTCATGATAAGGACAGAGGACAGGATAATTAGGGTGAGAGGGGATACCCTGACCCTCTCTGTGTGCCTTCACCCCCAAGCTGTGCGGAATGACCGGAATAAGAAGAAGAAAGAAGTAAAGGAAGAGGGGTCGCTTGACAGCTATGAGCTGAGCCCTCAGTTAGAAGAGCTCATCGCCAAGGTCAGCAAAGCTCATCAGGAGACCTTCCCCTCACTCTGCCAGCTGGGCAAATATACCACGGTGAGTCCAGTGAGGGCAGGGGACCCTTCACTTTGGAGACTGGGTTGGGGTTGTATTGAGGTCACGGTCTAGTGCTGAGGCCAAGGAAGGGCAACAGAACGCAGAGGGGAGAGCTTGGGGTTTGGGCAGAAAGAAGATAGCCCCCAGGGCAGGCTTTAGCTTGCATTCCCACCTGCCTTCCCTGTAGAACTCCAGTGCAGACCACCGGGTGCAGCTGGATCTGGGGCTCTGGGATAAGTTCAGTGAGCTGGCCACCAAGTGCATCATCAAGATCGTGGAGTTTGCCAAGCGGCTGCCTGGCTTTACCGGGCTCAGCATTGCTGACCAGATCACTCTGCTCAAGGCCGCCTGCCTGGACATCCTGGTGAGTTAAGCCTGGTGGCCTGTCTCCCGCCACAGCCTGTGAGGCCAAGGAGTTGGTCTGCACAAAGATCTCATTATCTCCCCCAACCCCATCTCCAATCTGGGACTCCCCAGATCTTCTCTAAAGCTGAGCTTTTTTTGTCTTCCCCCTGCCCAAGACCTGATCCTACACTTCTGGACGCCCTGCCTCCTTCTGACCTCTCTTCCCTCCCAAGCTTTAGATTCCCCCCCTCGCCTCCCTCCTGTGCCTGCTGCAGGTTGCCCTCCTTCTGCTTCTAACTCCCTCCCGTGCACCCCATCGCCTCTTCTCTCCACCTGAGATGGGCTCTTCCCCAGACACAGCACTCAGCCTTCCCTTTGCCTACCTCCAGATGCTACGGATCTGCACAAGGTACACCCCGGAGCAGGACACCATGACCTTCTCCGATGGGCTGACCCTGAACCGGACCCAGATGCACAATGCTGGCTTTGGGCCCCTCACGGACCTCGTCTTTGCCTTTGCTGGGCAGCTCCTGCCACTGGAGATGGATGACACAGAGACCGGTCTGCTCAGTGCCATCTGCCTCATCTGTGGAGGTGCGGGGGCGCCCCCTGGTGGTTACCTGCGCTCCTTTCCCACTGTACCCCATACCTGCTCTGGGACCAGGCAGGAGACCTTGGTCCTTCATTGTTGCAGCCGCACCATGCGCAGACTTCTCAGAGCCAGTACAGGCTCCCCAGCAGCGCTGGGGCCTAGGACAGAAAGGAGAGCAGAGGAAGAGCTGAGGAGATCCCAGATGACTGGTGCTGAGATATAGCGGTCTGGGCAGGAGTGATTTACCAGAGGGGAGAAGGTGTGGGGCCTGGAGCAGGGGAGGTGGTCTGGGTAGGAATCATAGGAACCATAGGCAAAGGGCTGATGGGACAGAGTGGGGGGCCTGGGGGGGCCATAGGGCAGGGCCAGTTGGGGATGGGCCCTCTCACTGTCTCTCCCAACTCTTCCTCTCTCACAGCACTGTGCTTGTTCCTGCAGACCGCATGGACCTGGAGGAACCCGAGAAAGTAGACAAGCTGCAGGAGCCACTGCTGGAGGCCCTGAGGCTCTATGCGCGCCGGCGGCGGCCCAGCCAGCCCTACATGTTCCCGAGGATGCTCATGAAGATCACGGACCTTCGGGGCATCAGCACCAAGGGTCAGTCGTGAGGGCACCCCTTCCCTCTCTGGCACCTGCTGGTCTCTCAGGTCAGGCAGGCAGGCAGACAAGCGAAGACCAGAACAGAGCATCAGGGGCTCTGCACTGGACCCCTAGCTCTGCCGCAGGCTAGTGGGGAGACTTAGGGAACATTCCTTTACTTATTGTACCTTGTTTTCCTATTTGGAAGCTAGACTATACTTAACAGTTACCCCACCAGTTGTCGTGAGAACTAAGCAAGTTAACAGAGCGGGCTTAGAACGGCTCTGAATTAAAACTGCAGCTCCTCAGTGGCTATAGCCACATTTCAAGTGCCCAGGGGTGAGTGAGGACTGTGCTGGACGAAGCAGACAGTGCCATCCTCACAGAAAGTTCTGTTGGACAGTGATGATTCAGAAGGATGTGTGGCAGATAGTAGGGGTTCAGTTGTATTAGCTATTATTCTAAAGCTTAGTAAGAAATGACCTAGGAACAGTGGGCCAGCTGTAGACATGGGAAGGGGGAGCACCTGAGGGATGGGACTGAGAGTTGGGCCGTGATCTTGGAGCCTAAGAATGGGATGAGTGGGCAGCAAACTTGGCAGAGAAAGCAGGTAGAAGCTGCAGCAGAGGAGTGGCCCTCAGGGACCATGGAGTAGGGAGAGGGTGAGCTGGGACAGAGAGGTGGCAGGCTTGTGCTAGGTTCCTATGGTTCCTGTGTGTTCCCAGAGAGAGAAAGGTTAGGGAGATGGCCTCAAGGGGCATGGGCTTCTGCTCCCTTGAACCTCTTTGTCCCTCTGTTGCAGGAGCAGAAAGGGCCATTACCCTGAAGATGGAGATTCCAGGCCCGATGCCTCCCCTAATCCGAGAGATGCTGGAGAACCCCGAAATGTTTGAGGACGACTCCTCGCAGCCTGGTCCCCACCCCAAGGCCTCTGGCGAGGATGAGGTTCCCCGGGGCCAGGGCAAAGGGGGCTGCAGCCCCCAGCCTGACCAGGGCCCCTGACTTCCCTGCCGTGGGGGTTGGGGCTCTAGGCAGCAGACTGACCATCTCCCAGACACTGCCAGTGACTGGGGGAGGACGTGCTCTGCCCTCTCTCCACCCCTTCCAATGAGCTCCTTGTTTTTGCCAAAGTTTCCAGGGGTGCCTCTGTGTTCATCCCCTCCCTGTTCTAACTGGCTCCCTCTCCAGTCTTGGGGGCTTGCTCTGTTCCCATCAGGAGAGAGGGCAGAGGGGTGAGCCTCGGTTTGGACTCTAAAATCTCAGCACTGCCCCTCAGACACCAGGGTCCCACGCTCCCCAGGGCAGAAGGAAGACCCTGCTAGTTCCACAGCCCCTTCCTCTGCCAGGTGCTTAGGCCTCTGGGAGCAAACAGGAACACTAGAGACCAAAAAGGGGGCATGGGGGGCTGAGCCCACCCTCTTGCCCCTGCCCTTGGTGCCTCGTGCCGCTAATGCACCTGCCAGGTGCACGCTGCCCTCGGAGCCCCAGCCTCGTGCCAGGTCAGGTTGGGCCAGGCTGGGCCCTGCATTTTTGGGGGGCCCAGAGGGTGAAAGGGACAGACACAGCTCCGTTAGGCACCTCTTTGCTTGGGCCCAGAGTTGACCTTGTGCCCTCCCTTACAAGCCCCTCCCCAAGTCCTGTGTTGTCCACCACCCCTGTCATGTGCCTTGGGCTTCCCCTGCCTCCCATCTCAGCCACAGGGGCGGGGACCCTCCTACACTACAGAGGGGCCAGAGGATCCCTCTCCCCCTAGTGCCTTCCCCACTCCTTGATCTCCAGAGCAGCTTGGCCCAGGGAAGGGGGTGGGTGGGCGCTGCTTAGCTGATCCTTCCCTGACCCAGAGGAAACCTCTATTTATTTATTAGCTTTTGTTTACACCCTGGACTTGACCCCTTCCTCCAGGGGTCTTGGGAGGGGGAGCCCAGGGCCCCTGTGACCCCTCCCTTCTTCCTCCAATCCCCAGTTTGTATTTAGCTGCCAAATAAGATTCCCACTGGCTCCCCTTTTTCTCTGGGGGGTCAGGGTGCTGTCCCCTCCCCTCTGTTTACATCTCCCCTCCACCCCGCTGTATCGCATATTGCTGAGTTTTCTATTTTTGCAAAATAAAGTGATGGAAACTCATGGCACATGGCTGCCTCTGGGGGGGAGGTGGGGGAAATGACCTGGCTCACCTGGAGAGGGGCTGGGTGAGGAAGGTGAGCCCCTAGTCTACTGGATTTGCAGCTTTCTTAGGGAAACCAGGGAAATTGGATGAGATGCACCTGGATGGGGGTGGTGGGAGGGTGGGGGAAGGGACCCCATGGGGCCTACCCTGGGTTTTTGGGCCTCCCACAGCCACCAGGTGTGCACTCTTAGATTGGACCCTGTGGACCTCTGGGAAGGTGTGAATGGTCCCAGAGGCCTTTAAGGTGTCCCCACAGCCCCGTTATGTATATGTGCATATCTGCCCTTCTCTGGGGAGGGTGTTCATTGAAGCTGCCCTTGGCTCTCATGAGGGTCTCTGGCCCCAGAAGAACCACGTCCCACATCTGAGTTGCAGTGTTTCTGTTTTACACCAACCCTCTTTACTTCATGAGCTTCCCCGCTCTGTGACCCCACTATCACCTCAGAAATCACTCCCTCGGCCCCTTCTGACCCCACTGTTCCCTTTGGTCCTAATATCTCTCCTTGCCCCTACGCGCCTCACCTCTGCAACACTGCCACCCTTAGCCCACTGCCTGTGGCCTCCCCACTCCCCCTCTGCAACTCCCCCTCCATACCACCCCCCCCCAACCACACTGTGGCCCACCTTCCTCACTGGGACCGCACCCTGCCTACCTTGTGCCTGGCTTTCTTCTCGGATGACCTGTGCTGGGAAGACCTGTGCTGGTGTGGGAGAGAGGTTGGGGATGGGGGAGTTGGGGAGGAAAGAAGAGTGGGGAAAAGCAGAAGAAGAAAGTGAAAGAAGCTGTGGAGGAAACCACAGGGCCTGTGGGGAAGGAGGGGTCGTCGCCATAGTAACCCCTGCTTGTGGGGGAAGGGTACAAGGGCTGGTAGGCTGAGGCCAGCTGAAGAAGCGCCCCCACCCCGTTCCAGTGGCTCTCCCAGCAGCGACACTCCTACAGTCCACCTGCCGCTCACACCCACCGAGAGACAGGAGCTTGTCTACATGTGGTGACGTATCAGTCAGTCCCTGCCATGCAGAGGGTCCCTCTGGCAGAGGAGGCCAACTTGTGAACATAGATTTCCAGTCCAGCTCCTTCTCAGAGCTCCCTGTGGTCAAGCGTGGGTTGGGGGCGGGTATTTTCCACAACCCCTTCTCCTCCCAGCCTTTATCCTCGCCCTTGCTCCAGTGGCCGTGACCTCCAGCAGCCGTGACCCCACCCTCGGCTTCTCCCATTTCCCTCCTCTCCACCTTTCCCAGCCTCTGCCACTGCAGGGCAGGGGCCCCCCAGTCTTGTTCTCTGAGCCTGGCCCTGTATCCATCTCCAACTTCCCAGCTGGCCGGACCTTGAATTTCTCAGCCTCTCTCTCTGCTTCTCACCGTGTTCCTTCTCATCCACGGAGTCTATTATCAAGCCCTTAGGTCGTCCCGGGTTCTCTTGGAAGCAGTTGATGTGATTTAGCTCTTTTAATTCTCACGGCAATCCTCAGTTCCCTGGGACCGATGAGAGGAAGCCACAGGAAGGTTAAGTAACTGCAGAAGTTCTCAGGGCTGTCATGAGAGATCCAGGATTGGAGCTCAGGCTGTTTGGCCCCAGAGCCTGTGATGTTCAGCCCGCAGCATGATAGAGTGGGCACTGGGTTTTCAAAATGAGTGCCCATAGTCCCTAACATTCCCCTTCCCGGTACTTACTGCCTCCCTATTTCTTCCTTTCTTATCATGTTCCTGTATGAAGAAGTAGAGAGATCACACCAACTTGGGAAGCAGGCAGCCCTGGACGGAAAGCCCACACCAGCGAATTGTTAGCTATGTGGCCTTGGGCAAAGATTTTCATTTCTTACCTCTGAACCTCAACATCTATCTTTCCTCTTAGCCTCTATTTCTGTAAAATTTGGGGGCTAGGGGCATATTAACCTGTGGCTGTGTCATGGGTTAATTAAAATATCATGGGACACCCCAGCATGACATAGGGTCTTGGTAGCCAGACAAGCTTCCTTGCTTCCTTCCAAATCCCTGTATCATCACCCCCCTTGGCTCAGTTCCACCCCTATGGGCTCCACCTTCTCCTAGGTCAGTTACCCCACCATCCCGAAATCTCCTCCACCCCACCCCACCCCAGGGCGTGTCACTTCCTCCTCTGCAGCCTCCCAGATCAGTACACAAAGGCCACGGCTGCTGGAGGAAGAGCTGCTCGGTGGCATGCACCTGTGAGTACCAGGGCACTAGCCCTCTGCCTCCTCTCCTTACAACCCAACCCCTGCCTGCTCCCTACCACCTCCAGGGAATAGGGCTCCGGGCTCTGACCCGAAGATGCCCAAGATCCGGCTGAGACTGGAGAAAGGCTCTGAACTCCTTTCTGAATTCCTAAGATCCTCTTCCCAGTTCCCTCCTCCAGTTTCTCAAGCTCTCCCCGCCTCACCCCTACCTATCTCTCCCGCATAGGTTTCCCAAAAGTGGGGCTGGAGAGGGAGGCAAAGAAGGTAGGGGAGTGTATGACTGCTATCATTGGAGAGCCCACCATGTGCCAAAGATTATGTCAAGGTAGGGCTCTCCCAGTGTGACTCCCCAGCAGCTACCCCAGGTGCCTAGTGCCTGGTGCTCAGCTCAGATCTGCCAGTGACAGCTTGACAGTGGCTACCACAGTCCTGGGGGATGGTGGCCCAGTGGCTCTGTTCTCTTCCCTCCTTGTGCTGCTGAGTGGGCAGCAGAGGATTCCACCCGATTTGGGAGATCTGAATAGGTTGGGCAAATGCTCTGTTTCTCAGATGGTGAAGGGGGAATGTTAGGGTGTGTACTGGAGTCAGAATCGAGGCTAGGAAAATGGGACAACTACAGAGGAAAAGAAGGGAAGATGGCAGAAGAGCCCCTCAAGGGAAGAGAAAGGGGGTCAGGTGGAGCCCACTGGAGTTGATGGGGAGAAGGCACAACTTTTGATGAGTCTCACCTGTCTTAATCCCTGTTCACTGTCACTCACCGCCCTGGGATTCAGGTTTGTAAAAAGAGGGGGATGAAGTTGACAGCCCTGCTGTTCTATGGTTAGGATAGGAGGGAAAAGGAAGTAGAACAAAGAGCTAGCTGTACAGAAGTGGAGAAGAGGGGAGCCTGGGTGGCTCAGTGGGTTAAGGCCTCTGCCTTCAGCTCAGGTCATGATCTCAGGGTCCTGGGATTGAGCCCCACGTCCGGCTCTCTGCTCGGCAGGGAGCCTGCTTCCCTTCCTCTCTCTCTCTGCCTGCCTCTCTGCCTACTTGTGATCTCTGTCAAATAAATAAATAAAAATCTTTAATAATAATAATAAAAAGAAGTGGAGAAGAGAAAAGCAGCAGAAAGATGTCATCAAATTTTTGAGTGGGTGGGGGGGAGAAATTAACAGAAACAAGCTGCAGGTCATGTATCCCCAAGTTAGAAAGAAGAGGGAAAATTGCGAGAAGGGGGTTGGCAAGTCCTGGGCAGGGAGTCCCAGGTGCTCCCTTTAGGGGAGATGAGTGGGTTTGAGGTCTCTGGATATGTCCAATCCTGGGGGCTCCGCCTTGACAGATGAGTCAAAACTGGGTTTTGTGCTGCAGCATCGTTGGCCTCCTTGACCACAGGCGTGCAGAGCAAGCAGGGTTGAGGTTACAGAGCCTGAGCCGTGGGCCGACCTTGCACAGGAGGGGGGCCCCCGAGACATATACATATATATATAGCACCCGAGGTCCTAAGTGGTAGAACAGCTGAGGTCAACAACTTGGCACCCCACCCCTTCCCCATGCTGTATAGAGCATCCATTTGAATCTAGAACCAGGAGGAGGAAGATGCAGGTGCTTCAGGCCAAGGACTTAGTTGGCCTTTCTCATACACACACCACTCGTGGGAATATAAACCGACACAGTTGCTGAAGTGGTTATGTCAGTGATAACCCGCCAACATTACAAGTGATACCTATTTATTGACCCTACAAACCTCTTCCAGGGACTTTAAAAAAATTATTCATTTATTTGCCAGACAGAGAGAGAGGGAGAGCACAAGCAGAGAGAGGTGCAGGCAGAGGGAGAAGCAGGCTCCCCACTGAGCAAGGAGCCCGATGTGGGGCTTGATCCCAGGACCCCAGGATCATGATCTGAGTTGAAGGCAGACGCTTAATCAACTGAGCCACTCGGGTATCCCTTCTTCCAGGGACATACCCTACAGATTCACTCACACATATGTGAAATGATAAGTGCATGAATTTCCATTGCAGCATTAGTTTCAATAGTGAGCAATTAGAAGCAATTTAAATCCCCATGGGAGATTAACTGTAATGTGATCCATCTGTGCTAAGTGGAAATCTATATGGCTGTGAATATGACAAGCAAGATCTTTATTTTCTTCAGTAACAGGTTTCCAAGAAAAGTAATTGAAAGAAAAAAAAATAGAGGGCAAAACTGCATGTATTCTAGAATTGTGATCGTAGAAATCTGTCATTTGATTTGACCATTTGAAGAACATATATACTTATATTAGATTGTATATGCATAAAACAATCCCTAAAAAGATTATAAGCAACAAAAGATAATAAAAAAGTGATAGTTATTTATTTGGAGTGAGGTATGTAAACGGGAGGATGGGGGATACAAGTGGGAGATTTGTAAATGTTTTGATTTTTTATGTGATAAAATGCACATAAAATTTATAATTTTGTAAAGACTTTTTTAAAGATTTTATTTATTTATTTCAGATAGAGACAGAGAACGAGAGAAAGCACACACCATGCACAAGCAGAGGGAAAGGGAGAAGCAGGCTCTCCACTGAGCAGAGAGCCTGTCTCACGGGGCTCGATCCCAGGACTCTGGGATCACCACCCAAGCTGAAGGCAGACGCCTAACCAACTGAGCCACCCAGGTGTCCCTAAAATTGATCATTTTAACCATTTTAAGTGTTCGGTTCAGTGGCATTAAGTACCCTTACAATGTTGTACAACCATCACTGCTATCTAGTTCCAGAACTTTTTCTTCACTCCAGAACAAAACTGCCCGTCAGGCGGTTATTCCTCATTCTTCCCTCCTCCCCAACCCCCGCTGCAATGATCATCTACTTTCTGTTTCTGGGGATTTTTCTAGTCACAAGAGTTCCCATAAACCGAATCGTACAATGTGTGTTTTTTTGTGACTGGTTTCATTCACTTAGCATTGCGTTTTCAAGTTTCGGCGATGTTGTAGCATGTGTCAGGACTTCATTCCTTCCTATGGCCAAATAATATTCCATCGTGTGGAGATAGCACATTTTGTTTATCCGTTCATCAGCCGATGGACATTTGTGTTGTTTCTACCTTGAGGCTATTGTGAATAGTACTGCTATGAAGGTTCATGTACACATTTTTTTTTTTTAAGATTTTATTCATTTGACAGACAGAGGTCACAAGTAGGCAGAGAGGCAGGCAGAGAGAGAGGAGAGGAAGCAGGCTCCCCACTGAGCAGAGAGCCCGATGCGGGGCTCGATCCCAGAACCCTGGGATCATGACCCGAGCTGAAGGCAGAGGCTTTAACCCACTGAGCCACCCAGGCGCCCCCAAATTTTTGTTTTAAGCAACTTACTGGGGATTTATCAAACTCTGTTGTACCATTTTACATCCCCACCAGCAATATACGATGGCTCCATATTCTCTACATCCTCTTTTTCTATTTTTTAAAGAATTTAATATAGCTGGGGTGTCTAGGTGTGTCAGTGGATTAAGCCTCTGCCTTCCGCTCAGGTCATGATCTCAGGATCCTGGGATAGAGCCCCACATCTGGCTCTCTGCTCAGCAGGGAGCCTGCTTCCCCTCTCTCTCTCTTTGCCTGCCTCTCTACTTGTGATCTCTCTCTGTCAAATAAATTCATAAAATTTAAAAAAATATATATTAAAAAATTTTAATGTAGCCATTTAAATTTTACTGGGTATGAAGTGGTATCTCACTGTGGTATTTGATTGGCATTTCCCTGATGATTAATGGTGTTGAGCATCTTTTTCTGTGCTTGTTGGCCATTTGTCTACCTTCTTCAAAGAAATATCTACGTAAGTCTTCTGCCATTTAAAAATGGGGTGGTTAGGGGCGCCTGGGTGGCTCAGTGGGTTAAAGCCTCTGCCTTCAGCTCGGGTCATGGTCTCAGGGTCCTGGGATCAAGCCCCACATCGGGCTCTCTGCTCAGCAGGGAGCCTGCTTCCTCCTCTCTCTCTGCCTGCTTCTTTGCCTATTTGTGATCTCCGTCTGTCAAGTGAATACATAAAATCTTAAAAAATAAAAATAAAAAAATAAAAATGGAGTGGTTTGCCTTTTAGCTGTTGAGTTGGAAGAGTTCTTTATATGTTCTGGATCCTTCCCAGATATATGATTTGCAAATATTTCCTCACTTTCTGTAGCTTGTCTTTTCGTCTTCTCCATAGTGCTCTTTGAAGCACGAAAGTTTTATATTTATATATTTATATTTTTATGAAGTCCAATTGACCTATTTTTTTTTCTTTTGTTGCTTGTGTTTTTGATGTCCTCATTAAGAATCCGTTGTCAAGGGGCACCTGGGTGGCTCAGTGGGTTAGGCTTCTGCCTTTGGCTATGATCATGATCTCGGGCTCCTGGGATCGAGCCCCACGTTGGATTCTCTGCTCAGTGGGGAGCCTGCTTCTCTCTCTTTCTGCCTGCCTCTCTGCCTGCTTGTAATCTCTATCTGTCAAATAAATAAATAAAATCTTTAAAAAAAATCCATTGTCAAGTCCAAGGCCGCAAAGATTTACCCCTCCATTTTCTTCGAAGAATTTATAGTTCAAGGACTTACATTTAGGTCGTTGATGCATTTTCAGTTAATTTTTGTATATGTGGTGAGGTAGGAGTCCAACTTCCTTCTTTCACATGTGGATAGCCAGTCATCCCAGCACCATTTGTTAAAGACTGTTCTCTCCGCATCGAGTAGTTTGGCACGCTTGTTGCAAATCAATTGGCTGTAAATGGATGAATTTATTTCTGGACTCTCAATTTTATTTCATTGATCTACATGCCTACCCTTGATCTACATGCCACATTGTCTTGATCACTGTAGCTTCCTAGTAAGGTTTGAAAGATGTGAGAGACCTCTGATTTCATTCTCTTTCAAGATTGTTTTTGGCCATTCAGGGTCCCATGCAATTCCATAGGAAGTATAGGACCAACTTTTCCATCTCTGTAAAAAAGGCCATTGCAATGTACCTTTCTGATTTTTAAAAAATATTTATTTATTTGAGAGAAAGTGCGCTTGCACACAGGGGAGAGAGACAGAGGGAGACAGAGTGTCAAGCAGACACCGTATTGGGCACACAGCCAGAGGGACATAGGGCTCTATCTCTTGACCCTGAGATCAGGACACAAGCTGAAAACCCAGAGTCAGACACTTAACCGACTGCACCACCCAGGAGCCCCCTTAACTTCCTGATTTTTGTCTCTCTCTCTCTTTTTTTTTAAAGATTTTATTTATTTATTTATTTATTTATTTATTTGACAGACAGATATCACAAGTAGGCAGAGAGGCGGGCAGAGAGAGAGGGGGAAGCAGGCTTCCCGATGAGCAGAGAGCCTGATGTGGGGCTTAATCCCAGGACCCTGAGATCATGACCTGAGCTGAAGGCAAAGGGTTTAACCCATAGAGCCACCCAGGCTCTATTATTAATTGACAAACAATTAATAAGTTTTTAACAATCAGAAATTTGCCTGGTTTTCCCTGGAGGTCATTCCAGGAATTACCCTGCCTTCAGGCTCTTTCTTCAGTCTATATTTGCTCTGTGCAACATACAAGAAAGAGAAAAGTTTACCAACCATGGCTTGCCTTCCTGCATTATCCCAGGCCTTTAGAAATTTCTCTTATGGTCTAATCTTTATTCCTCTTGCTACCATGTCAGCTACCTTCCCTGCCTCTCTCACACACTCCTTCATTAGCTCTAGTCTTCCTTCCTCTCATTTTTTTAAAGATTTTATTTATTTACTTGACAGACAGAGATCACATGTAAGCAGAGAAGCAGGCAGAGAGAGAGAGAGGAGGAAGCAGGCTCCCTGCTGAGCAGAGAGCCCCAGGACCCCAAGACCCCAGGACCCCGGGATCATGACCTGAGCCGAAGGCAAAGGTTTTAACCCACTGAGCCACCCAGGCACCCCTCTTCCTCTCATTCTTATTCCCTGACTTTCCTCCCTTAAATTTAGAACCCTTGACCCTCTTTCTTTCTTTTTTTCTTTTCTCTCTTTCTCTCTCTTTCTTTCTTTCTTTATTTTTTTTTAAATTTTTTTAAGATTTTATTTATTTATTTGACAGACAGAGATCACAAGTAGGCAGAGAGGCAGGCAGAGAGAGAGAGAGGAGGAAGCAGGCTCCCTCCTGAGCAGATGAGCCCGATGTGGGGCTCCATCCCAGGACTCCGAGATCATGATCCGAGCCGAAGGCAGAGGCTTTAATCCACTGAGCCACCCAGGCGCCCCTCTCTCTCTTTCTTTAATGTTTTTTCTCTTTTTAAAAAGATTTTATTTCTTTATTTGAAAGAGAGACCGAGACAGAGCATGAGCATGAGCAGTGGGGAGGAGGCAGAGGGAAAGGGGGAAGCAGACTCCCCGCTGAGCAGGGAGCCCAATATGGGGCTCAGTCCCAGGACCCTGAGATCATGACCTGAGGCCAAAGTAGACGCTCAACCAACTGAGCCACCCAGGCACCCCTGTTCCTTCATTTAGAATCCAAGATTATGAAAACTGCAAGGCCTGTCAGATTATTTATTTAACTGTCTCTCTTTACAGATGTGGGAACTAAGGCCCAGAGAAAAAGTGTGATTGGCCATACAGCCATCAAGTGACTGAAGCAGGTCCAGAACTTGGTGTGTTTCCTGTTTGGTTCTGTTTCCACTGTGGCTTGGAATCCTGGTGACTAGACATTGGTGGGTGTAGACCTTAGTGCTTCCGGGGCTAGTCCCCAGACTCTTGTTAGGCCATTTTGCCCACCTTTTCCCTGGCAAAGTCTGCGCAAAGGAGGGACAGGACTTCTCTGAGGCTCCTACCCACATGTGGTGGCTGCCTCTTCCCTACATTTTTTTTTTTTTTAAGATTCTATTTATTTATTTATTTATTTGAAAGAGAGACTGAGCAAGAGAGAGAAAGCATGAACAGGGGGAGAGGGAGAAGCAGACTCCTCTGCTGAGCAGGGAGTCCGATGTGGGGCTCGATTCCATGACTCTGGGATCATCACCTGAGCTGAAGGCAGTTGCTTAACCTACTGAGCCACCCAGGCCCAGGTGCCCCATCTTCCTGACATTTTAAAGAAACAGCTGAATCCACAGGGAGAGACTCTCAGAGGAGATAAAGAATTGAGGTAGAGGTTTGTTTGTTTGTTTTCTTAAGTAAACTCTACACCCAAGGTGGGGCTTGATCAAGAGTTGCATGCTCTAGGACTAAGCCCGCCAGGCGCCCCTGAGGCAGAGTGTTGAGAGTGACAAACACAGGCTAAGTTTAGAGGACTGAGAGCTTAGAGGCCCTTCCTTAAGGACCCACGTGTCACCCTTTATGTCCTATTGTAGGCCATGGTGGCTTTGCCCATAGTCCTTGTTTTCCTGCTGGTCCTGAGCAGAGCGGAGAGTGAATTGGATGCCATGATCTCCCTGTCCAAGAAGGCCACAGAATGGAGGGATCCTGATCCATCCCTGCAAGGGTCCTGCCAGCCCGCCTCCTCCTGCCGGGAGTGCATCCTCTCACACCCAAGCTGTGCATGGTGCAAGCAACTGGTAAAGCTGGGCCTGTGACCTTTGGAGACTGTGTATAGGTGTATGTGCAGAACAGAGCTCTGTGCGTGATTGTGTGGGCAAATGTGTGATTTCTGGGTGCACTCAGCAGTCCCATGGGTGACTGAGTTTGTGCACCTAGGACTCCCGTGTGTGACTGTGTGTGTGTGCATGCATGTGTGTGCAAGGGCCCTGTGTGTATACACTTATGTGTCTGTGTATTTGTGTATCTCTGGAGAAGACTTGGTGACCTTACATTTGGTGGAAGTATGTTCTTGCTGGAACTCACACTTGCGGACAGGTAGAGTGAGCTTTGGCACATATGTACATGTGAGAAAGTGTTTGTCAGCTCAGGCAGCCGTAACAACATACCACAGACTGGGTGGCTTAAGCAACAGAGATTTATTTCTCACAGTGCTGGAGCCTAGATCCAAGATCAAGGTGGCAGTCATTTTGGTTCCTGGTGAGAGCCCTCTCCCCGGCCTGTAGTCAGGCTGTAGAGAAGCTCTCTGGTGTCTCATCTTATAATGGCATCAATTCCATCACCCCTCACCCCAACCACGTGAGGGTTCTCCCTTCACGATCTCAACTAACCCTCATTTCTTCCCAGAGGCTCTATCTCCAAATGCTTTATCATGACATTGGGGGTTAGTCCCTAACAGAAAGTATATGACTGGTTTTCTGAGTCTGTGGAGGGTGCATGGGCACAGCCTTCCCAAGGTATGTGTTCTCCTGTGGCTGGGAAAGTAGAAGGGAAGGAGGTAGAAGTGGGTAGGCTTTGGGGGAAAGACTTGATCTACCCAAGTGGCCCAAAAGGATGCTGGGGAGGTGTCTCCCTGGCCTGTCAAGCGAGGCAGTTCTTTTTTTGTGCCTTAAAGAGACAGGGCTCATGGAGTGGCAGAGCATGGTGGGTACCTGAGCTGGGGGGTGGAAGAGGGAGAGTTCTATCAGAGATGAGGGTAAACTCCCTAGAAGGCAGAGCTACAGAAGCTGAGTGGAGGCTGAGCCAGCCGGGGAGAATGGCACCCTGTGAATCTGGGAGGACCGGAAGAGGAGACTCAGAGTCAGCGGGAGACAGAGAGCAGAGAGGGGTGAGGCAGACAGTCAGATACCAGTCTGTCTCCTTCAATCTCTGGACCTAAGACTGGCACCAGGGCCAGCTGAGAAGCCACTGTAACCATTTCCTTCCTCTGCCACTTCCCAGCCAGTCCCCAAGGGACCAGACACGGGGGTGGGAGCTGGGTGGGGGGAAGGGAGAGGAGTCTCCTGTTTTGTCCTGGTCCTTCCCCCTCCCGGGGAACTTAGCCTGGTCTTCACCTGACCAGCTTTCCCGTTTTGGCCTGAGCATGCAGGAGAGCTCGGACTAGGAGACCAGGTTCCTCCTTTTCTTGTGGTAGTGAGGTGCCTGAGATCTCAACAGGAAGTCTGTGGCCCTGCGGAGAGGAGAAGGGTAGGTGGCTAGGGAGAGGGGGTTGTCTAGATGAGCAGAGCGTAGGTGTGGTGCTAGAGGAAGTGGGCTTAGACAGAACCAGGTTTGGAGGTGGCTGTGGGGGGACGGAGAGGGGAGGGTATCCGAGGGGTTCAGGGCACTGTGAGGGGAGGGTCGCGAGCGGCCTAGATCGCAGGTGTTGGGGTGGGGGTCCATGGGGGACCAGAGTCCCGACGCGCTTCCCCTTGGATTCAGAACTTCACCGCGTCGGGGTTAGCGGAGGAGCGGCGCTGCGGCCGGCGACAGGAGCTGCTGGCGCGTGGCTGCCCCTTGGGGGAGCTGGAGGAGCCCCGAGGCCGGCTGGAGGTGCTGCAGGACCAGCCGCTGAGCCCGGGCACCCGCGGCGAGGGGGCCACGCAGTTGGCGCCGCAGCGGGTGCGGGTCACACTGCGGCCCGGTGAGTCCCCGGGGGCGGGGACGGAGGGCGGGGCCGAGGTGCCATCTCCTGCCCGCTGACCCACGCCCGCCCCCCAGGGGAGCCGCAGCAGCTCCGCGTGCGCTTCCTCCGGGCCCCGGGATACCCCGTCGACCTGTACTACCTCATGGACCTGAGCTACTCCATGAAGGACGACCTGGAGCGCGTGCGCCAGCTCGGGCACGACCTGCTGGTGCAGCTGCAGCAGGTCACACACTCCGTGCGCATCGGTGAGCGCCCCTCCGGCCCTCGGCCTCCCCCTGCGGGAGCTCCGGCCCCTACCTGCCCTCTCCCAGTTTTTAGCAGACCTGCTCAGGCAACGGGTTTCTGGTCTCCCCTCCCAAAGACATTCATCTTCCAGGACAGAACTGGAGGGGATTTAAGAAGCTGTCCAGTAGGAGCACTCATTCTACAGGAGGGGTAACTGAGTCCCAGAGTCTAGCCAGACGGGGTTCAGACAGGGTCAGACAGGGCGCCCTGGATCTACCAACCAGATACTAGCCTGATACTGATACTACCGGATACTGCCCTGATGCCACTGTCTCAGCCCCATCTGTGTCCCTCCGACAAGGGCTAAATGCCACTGTCCCTGGCTGCGACTTCTGCACTCACATCTCCCTTGTTCAAGGGATGCCCTCCTTTGCCCACCCTATTCCATCTCCTTCCTCCAGAGACCCTGCCTGACTGCCACTGTGTCCTCCTCTTGATATCTTCCATCCCCCACTGCCCTGAACCAGTGATCCAAACATTTTGCTCCCCCCTCCCCCACCCCTACTGGCCAAGTAGGCCAGATACTCAGACCTTCCACGCTGGGGGCACTCGTTCTCATTATCTCCTCTACTCCTTGGTGACTGTCCCCCTGACCGCCTGCCACTGCTTCCCATGGACCTCTGCCTTCTGAGTCCTCAGCAGAGGCCCTTCCACCCTGCAGCTAGCCAGTGACTTCTGGCACACCCCTCATGATTTCCGCCCTCCCAGGCTTTGGCTCCTTCGTGGACAAAACGGTGATGCCCTTTGTGAGCACAGTGTCCTCCAAACTTCGCCACCCCTGTCCCACCCGGCTGGAGCGCTGCCAGCCACCCTTCAGCTTTCGCCATGTGCTGTCGCTGACCGGAGATGCTAAGGCCTTTGAGAGAGAGGTGGGGCGCCAGAACGTGTCTGGAAATCTGGACTCGCCTGAAGGTGGCTTCGATGCCATTCTGCAGGCTGCACTCTGTCAGGTGAGGACGTGGGGAGGGCATCTGGGTCCGAAGCACTGTTTGGGGCTGAGACTGCCACCTAGGGTCATCAGTGCCCAATTCTAGGGGTGCCCTTTGTACCATCCTCACTGTAGTTTGCATATTCATTTGAACAATTTCCTGGTGGATTGGAGTAAAGTACCTTAAGGAAGAGGCATGTTTTTCTAGTTCATAAGAAGGCCTCCGCTAGCGACCATGTTTGGGGGGCTGGGGAGAAGCAGGGGGCTGGAGACAGGGGGGTACACAAACTGACTCAGAATGAGGCTGGCAGATCCTTGGCTCATAGAGCAAGGTGCACAGCCTAACTTCCACCCCCACCAACCCCAGGAGCAGATTGGCTGGAGGAATGTGTCCCGCTTGCTGGTGTTCACTTCGGATGACACGTTCCACACAGCTGGGGATGGGAAGTTGGGTGGCATTTTCATGCCCAGCGATGGGCACTGCCACTTGGACAGCGATGGCCTCTATCGTCGCAGTCCAGAGTTTGTGAGTCTCTACCCTCGCCCCACCCCTATCGGAGCCACCCCTCCTCTATGTCCAGGTCCCCTACCCCTGCCTCCTCGCCCTTACCAGTGACCACCCTGCCCTCTTCCTCAGGAGCCCCTCTTCTCCATGTCCCCCCACTGGTCAGACAGAAACCCATGTCACCCCACTCCCTAGCCCCTCCCTCCTCCTTGCTGAGCCTCCAGGGTTCCTCTAGCTGGTGGAAACCTGGTTCCTGGACTTCCTGGGCAGAGGGCATGTTGGATGTTGTGGGGGAGACTGGCGGAGCTCACCTTGTCCCTGCTCCCCTGCCCAGGATTACCCTTCTGTGGGTCAGGTAGCCCAGGCCCTGTCTGCGGCAAATATCCAGCCCATCTTTGCCGTCACCAGTGCCACGCTGCCTGTCTACCAGGTGAGAGCTGTCTGAATGCCGGACCTTCCTGCCGTGACCCTTTCCCAGCTCCCTCAAAGACCCACTCTCTTCCTCCCCATACGTCCTCACCCCCCTTCCAGACCCTCCAGAAGCCCATTTCCTTCAACTCCTCATAACCTAGGAGCTGAGTAAGCTGATTCCTAAGTCCGCAGTGGGGTTGTTGAGTGAGGACTCCAGCAACGTGGTGCAGCTCATCATGGATGCTTATAAGGTAAGGGGCTGGGACTGGGCAGCATGGCGAGCGCAGGCCCTGGCAAGGGGCCTTTGGGGAGGTGACAGAACTGAGAAGGACTGATCACTTTTCGGTGTAGCCCTCCATGGCTCTTACCTACAGTTTGTCTATGGCTGTCATTAATCGTTCACTCAGCTGGGCTGACACTTGTACATCTGAAGTGTCTGGCTTGTGTGGAACACAGAGCCCTGCTCTGGGCAAGGAAGGAAAGGAACATTCATTGAGCCAGTATTTGATGCCAAACACTGTCCTAAGTGCTCATGCTGTTTGCCTTCCCACTTATCCCACTGAACCCCTGTTTGCTAACGATTAGCATCCCTATTTTATAGATGAGAATACGGACACAGGGGGCTGAATGACTTTCCCAGGGTCACACAGAGAACAGACAGAAAGGCTGGCATTTGTGTCCCTGTCGATCCATAAGGAAAGTAACATCTGGAGCCTACTTTCACTGAGCTTACAAATAATTCAGAGGTATTTTTCACAGGAACCATAGAATTTTACAGGTAGAAGGAACCATAAAGATCCTTAAGTGTTTCTTGGGCTTAGCTCTGTAACCATGCTATAGGCGTGTTATGACGGGGATCACATCCTAAAGCCACAGTGAGAAAATCTGAGACAGGATCCAATTTCCCAGGGCAAACTCAATTGAAAGACTCTGCCCTTGAGGGCTTTACGTGTACAGGTTGTATATCCTGATTGGGAGTATGAGAAGCAGCTCCTGCATGTTACAAGGGGCCCCATAGCAGGCCGAGGGCAGGCTTGTGGTGGAATTTGGAATGGCTGCAGAGGGCACAAGGTGGGGTTGGAGTCCTGCCTTCACGTGGTTACTCACTGTCTCCCTTCCACAGAGCCTGTCCTCCACGGTGACCCTCGAACACTCTCCACTCCCTCCGGGGGTCTACATCTCATACGAATCTCAGTGTGGGGATCCTGAGAAGAGGGAGGGTGAGGATCGGGGCCAGTGCAACCACGTCCGAACCAACCAGACGGTGAGAGCCAGCCGAGATAGGCAGAAGGAAGGAAGTGGGGGTGGGGGAGGGAAATTGAAGCAGGCAGGAAAAGATTGGGGGCAGACACAGAGAACAATGCAAAAGCATGGGGTAGTTCTCCCTCCATCCTTTCTGAAAGGGTTTAATGAGTGGCTTCCTCCAGTGGGTTTCTAAGAGATGGGTGTTAGCATGATCTTATCCCTTCATTTCCTAAGGAATAGGTTCTCGATGATCAGAGGGTTTGGCGTGTGTGTGTGTGTGTGTACACAGGACCTTTAGTCTGATTTCTGCCCATATTGTCCTCAGGTGAATTTTTTGGTTGCTCTCCAAGCTACCCACTGCTCCTCGGAGCCCCAGCTTCTGAGGCTGCGAGCCCTTGGCTTCTCAGAAGAGCTGACTGTGGAGCTGCACACTCTGTGTGATTGTAACTGCAGTGACACCCAGCCCCAGGCTCCCCACTGCAGTGATGGCCAGGGGCTCCTACAATGCGGGGTATGCAGGTGAGGCCTCCAGCTTCCTTTCAGCCATGTGGCTCCTCACACATGACCAAGTCCGGTATTCCTCCTCTCCCTTCTGTCCTCCCACTGGCATCTTTAGACATCTTTTTCCAGATGTCCCAAGACTCCACCCTGATTTTCATCTGAAGTTTCCCAGATATGCCAAGACCCTCCCCTCCACTCTTTTACTCCTTGGTGCTCAACCACATACCAGCATCCCTTCAGCCACTCATCTCTCTCCCACTCTTTAGAGATCTTAGGTTTAGAGGATCCTGGGAAAGATAGGTCAAGGGATGGTAACCCTCTGACCCGCCCTTCCCTTTCCTGGCTCTGCCTGACTCTGCCTCTGCCTTCCCCTTCCAGCTGTGCTCCTGGCCGCCTGGGGCGGCTCTGTGAATGCTCTGAGGCTGAGCTGTCTTCCCCCGATCTGGAATCTGGGTGCCGGTCCCCCAATGGGACAGGGCCCTTGTGCAGTGGGAAGGGACGGTGTCATTGTGGACGCTGCAGCTGCAGCGGACAGAGCTCCGGGAGTCTGTGCGAGTGTGATGATGCTGGCTGCGAGCGACATGAGGGCATCCTCTGTGGAGGTACCTGCAGGCTTTGGGAGAAGGGAGTGGCTTTTAGAGTGGCTCCCAAGGGTATTTAGGCTCTGGGGACTTCATGGCCTTAAGGGTGAGTATTGAAGGTTCTGGTGTAGGTTGGAGGTGTCTGGCAACCTTGGGAGGGAGTTGGATGCACGGGAACAGACCAGCCTTAGGCAGCCTGTGGTGGCATGTGATGCCCACTGTGTGTGAGGAGCGTGGTTGTCAGCCCGAGCATGGCTCTGCCCCAGGCTTTGGCCGCTGCCGATGTGGATTGTGTCACTGTTTCGCCAACCGCACTGGCAGAGCATGTGAGTGCAGTGGGGACACGGACAGCTGTACCAGTCCCGATGGAATTCTGTGCAGCAGGCACGGACAGTGCAGGTGCAACCGCTGCCAGTGCCTGGAGGGCTACTTCGGTGCCCTCTGTGAGCAGTGCCCAGGCTGCGCAACATCATGCGAGAGATACAGGTGAGGCCTCCGGTCCTGTGGGTTGGGAGCAGGGGCACAGCAGGGCTTGCAGAGCCACTCCCATCTGCCTGTTCCTTCCTGCTGCGTAGTGTGGGTGACAGCTGCCTAGCTGGTAATCTACTGGTGTCCACTGGACAGGGACTGTGCAGAGTGTGGGGCCTTTGGAACTGGCCCCCTGGCCCTCAATTGCAGCAGGGCTTGTGGCTCTGTCAATGTGACCCTGACTTCGGCCCCTATCCTGGATGACGGCTGGTGCAAAGAGAGGACCCTGGACAACCAGCTGTTCTTCTTCCTGGTGGAGGAGGGAGCCGGAGGCAAGGTTGTGCTCAGAGTCAGACCCAAAGAGAGTAAGTGTGGCAGGGATGCTATGGGCATGCCAAAGGGAGCCCTGGAAGTTTGATGGGTAGGGCCTCAAAACTCCAGTTGGGGACGTGAAGAGAATGGGAAACGAGGCTAGGGGTTGAAGTACAGCAGAGAGTCCAGGCAAAAGTGGAGGTGATGGACCAAGTGAACAAGACTAAGGTCTTGGCCACTGAGGATAACCTTGGCCACTGCCGGGTTCCCTTTGTTTTCAAGGACAGGCAGGGCTGGGGAGGCTGGACACACTGTGGGCAATGGCCGATCAATCCCCATGGCTCTGTTATTTCTTCCCCATAGGAGCAGATCACACGCAGACCATTGTGCTGGGCTGTGTGGGGGGCATCGTGGCAGTGGGACTAGGGCTAGTTCTGGCTTATCGGCTTTCTGTGGAAATTTATGATCGCCGAGAATTCAGGCGCTTTGAGAAGGAGCGGCAGCGGCTCAACTGGAAGCAGGTAGGGAGACTGCCTCCTACCCTGCTGGGCTCTCCCTGGTTAGGACCTCTTCGCTCTCTGCTGCCCGCCCCCTGCCCCCCAGCCCTGGCTCCTTCCTAGGCCGCCCCCTCACTTTGGTCTGTACCTCCTCTGGCCCACTCCGCTGCTAACTTCCATCAGCTCTTGGGGCGCTGCTCAAGTTTGAGGTTGGCCTCTTAGGATTTGATAAAGGAAAGCCCAGGGACTCTTCCTCATTGTTTCCAACCTCCCTTCCCAGGACAGCAATCCTCTCTACAGAAGTGCCATCACGACCACTGTCAACCCTCGTTTTCAGGAGGCAGGGAGTCCCCTTCTCTGAAGCAGAGGGAGGAGCACTCCTCCCAGGGCTCTTCTCAGCTGCCTGGAAGGGGACTACTGAGGAATGGTCACCACCCACTTCATTCTCAGAGTGACACCCGAGGGCTGCCTACCCTGGCAACCACGCTTCCCTACCTCATGAGTGGGGGTTAGCCCCCTATCCCCGTATACAATAAAGAGTCTTACCTCAGAGCATCGCTGTCATCTTGCTTTACCTAAGGCCAGAGCAGGCTGTGGAGCCTGGGCCTCAGGAAAACACGTGCTCCTTCCTCCCACCTGAGTGTAGGAAAAGCCTGTAACCCAAGGTGCAGGAGGTTTGGTAAGTGGCTGCCAGGCGGGAGGGGGGCGGGGCTTCTCAATCCCCAGGTAATGCTGATGTGGGAGGACTGCAGACACACACTCAGATACACGTTGGTACCCCGCCTCATTTTGTTCTGGCATGCATGTTTTTTTTTCCCCCCGTATTCAGAAGTGATATCCTGTTTTTACTTGCACTTGTTGCTCTTCTGTGGAGGGGCGTTTTAAACAGTGGCTTAAAGGATGCTGGACGTTTGGAATGGTTGTATTTGGGGGGAAAACAGAAAACCACTTTGGCCCCAAAGAAAAAGCTTTCCCAAAAAAAGAGATAGTATGTAGAAAAGCCCCATTTTCTTTTTATTTAAATATCCTAAATATATCACGAAGGAACATACACTGCACTTTAATGGTAAAAAGATACAAGTTTATAACATCTTATAAAAACTACCATTTAAAAGTGATCTTGTTCATTTGATATTCCCCTCCCCCAATAGCAAAATAAGTATATTAAAAAAAAAAAGAGAGGGAGGGAGGGAGGGAGAGGGCAGAGAGGAAGAGTTGGGAGGGATTGTTAAGATAAAAGCCTCAGGACTGCAGCAGAGGCAGAGCGTTTGGGGAGAGGGTTAGCAGTTGTGGTGGGACCCCACGTCTCATTTAACCCTCCAATGTCAAGCCATAGGGCACAATCAGTAGCTAAGTGATGAAAGAGGCTGTTGGGGGGTGGACGGAGAAGAGTTGGGGTGCAGGGAAGGGCAGGGCTGGTAGGGCCCAGTACAAGCCCCCCCCCCCCGAACTGGTACTACTCTTTCCCAGGTCCCCAAATTCCATGTCCTGGTCTCTGAGAGCCTGCCCTAGCTCCCTTTCCCTTCACTCCAAACGCACCTGAGGCATCTGTCCAGTGCTAGACCCCACCAGCTGAGGAGGGCTGGGGCCTTTGGCCCAGGAGCCCCTGCAGCGCTCTTTGTCTGTGCTTTCCCTGGGGTGTAAGTGGGGCTTCCGGGCCCTCTGGGAGGCTAAATCACTCCTTTCTCCTCTTTGCTCCTCTCTCCTCACACATCCTTGGCCCCAGAACCTGGACACAACCTCCCACCTGCTCCTGAGTTGCCCCCACACCCAGTCCTTGGCAGGGGTGCTTCTGGTATGGCTCTTTACACACCTGTGCACAAACTCCCTCTCTCTCACCCACCCTGGCAGGAGACTGGAGCTGTGGGGGGCCACGGCACACTGGGACCTAAGCACACATCTGCACATGTAGGGGAGAGGTCACTCAAGGGATTCTCTCCACACACACTCCACCCCTAAACAGATTAGCTGCAACTGGCAGGGAATGAAGCCTCCTGTTTTCAAAAGTGCTCCTGGGAGAAGTTTTTTAAATGTTGCCTCCTTCCAAGAATCTACTCCCAGAGGTGAGTGATAAATTCCGGCCCCAGAAGAGCCCTCTAACAGGAAAGGGGCTCACTTACATACGGGAAGATACCCAGCTTGCGGGGACCACATGGCAGCTTCAAGGACTGAAGCCTAGGTTCTGGACAGTATCAAATGCAAGTGCCAGCGTAAAGCTAGAAGAGCACAGGCGGCAAACACATTCCCCAGTGTCTCTTCCAAACGATCTCAGGCGCTGCCAGGGAAAATCTGAAGGGTGCCATACCCTTCTCTTTCCCTGAAATCCTCACATTTCGAGGTATAGAGCCCCTTCCCCCACTTCAGGTAACAGCGAGGAGCTTTCTGCTGCTGTTCCCTACATTTTCTAGGAAATGAAGTCACACTGTCTGGAGTTGCCATCTTAGAGCCCCACTGACAGCGTGGTCAGGTTCACCAAGCCTCCATGATTATTCCATGATTACTCCCCTCTATAGGTCAGGGCAGGCCACAGTGGGGGCCAACCAAACCCCAGGAACTTCCATAGCAGAAAGAGGGTTTTTTATTTCACTTTAAAAAGTTCATGTTTACAAGCTATGGCTTGGATTAAACACCCTAACCAGCCTGTTGAATCAATTAAAAAAAAAAAAAAAAAAACCCTCCAAAACAAAGCCCTTCACTCCCCTAAATCAAGTTCCTCAGCTCCTGCTGGGACCTCAAGCACCCTCAGATTTGGTGGTGGTGATGGGGGCTGTTTCATGCTCATCCTCCCCTGAGTTGAGGGCCAGAGAAGGGTTTGGCTCAATAATATGCCATCTCCAAGCATACAAACACAAGCACACATTTGAATGAACACATTCACACGTACACACACACACACCCCTGATCACTTCTTTGAGGGTGGGTAGGGTGGTGGTGTTGGGGCAGAGAAGAGCAAAGAATATGATTAAGAATAAAACCTACAATAGATTTCTTCCTCAGTCCTTTCTCTGCAGCACCCCCCACCCCCAATTCTTTGTTGGGTAGGGATGGCCATTAAGAAGGAAACGAAGATCTTATTCTTTGGGACCAAAGGCCACACCCCTATCTCCTCTCCCTGAATACAGTGATAGGACTTGGGCAGGGAGAGCAGCTCACGCTGCTCAACCGTCATGTCAGGGGACACCAAACTCCTCTGTTTCTTGAACAGTTGTTGCTGAACTTGGGACTAGTTTCGGGTTGTTCCAAGAGGGCACAAGGAGAGATAGCCCCCTTTGATATCCGTGACTACCTGCTGAACACCTCTGTCTGGCTCAGGAGTCAACGGCAGCGAGGTAGCCACACACTATCTCTAAGATCGAGTGCCCAAAGAGGGCATGGAAGGGCTCTGTGGGCCGCTCTCACCCAAGTTCCCTCCACAAGGCACTTGAGCTGACCCCATCAGGTACCAGGGTGGCCTGGGCCAATGCAACAGCTGTGGGCACAGCTCTTGCTCTTCCCTGGAGGAAGAAAGAGGTACCTGCCCACTCTAGTTGGACCCAGCCCTTATCTGCTCCTCCCACCATTCTTCCTTCTGTCCTTACGTGTATAAGGAGACAAGGTGAACTCAGCTGCCATCCCTTATCCTACTCTCCTTCAAACAGAAGGTGAGATGCAGGGCTGTGGAACACTGAGGATCAACTGCAACTAAAAACTCAATTTTGGGGAGGGCTGGACCAGCCATAGTCCCTGCTTTGACCAGGGCTCTATGCCTCCATGTTACCTGTATCCACAGTGTAGCTGCTAAAATTGCTTTTGGATAAACAAAAACAAGAACAGAATAAACAAACAAATCCCTCTCCCCAAACCTTTCCATTTCAGCTGCCAGCTGGAGTCCAAGGTTGCGGGAGCCACACCAGTCTTGGTCCTGTACCTTCAGTCCCCACTATAACCTCAGCCAAGGGTCCAGGGACTAGCTTCCCTACCCAGGAATGCTGTAGGAACTTCCCCGAGATACTCATAGTCTCAGATTATTTACAGAGCTGAAGCTCTGAGGCCGCTGTCCCCTGATGCACTCTTCTGGTCTCCTGGGTCAACTCCTCCAGGAGGGGGACAGGTACAGATGGGGTGGTGGTGGGACCATCAGACCAGAGGGGGTGCGCTCTTCGGTAAATTCTTCTGATCACTCCCACCACCCAGGGCCCCTTGCGCCTATAGAGAAAACTGCCCGTCGGAAGTCTTGGACTGGCACCCTTGGCACATCCGTTTGTGTCTGAGTAATCGATCTGTCCGAGAAAAACACTGAGAAGAAAGGAAGGATTAAGTGTTGAGAGAACCTCAGCTACCTTTGTCTAGCTCTGCCGTCCCCACGTGGGAGGCAGGAATTCGGTTCCACATGCCCTCAGCAAGTACACAGACGGCAGGAGCACACAGCGGTTAAGAGCACAAGCTCTGAAGTCGGGAGCCCTGGCTCTAGCCCTCAGCAGCTGTGCGACCTTGGACATGGTATCTAACAGCACTCAATCTGGACACTCATCTGTAACGGGGCTAAAGTACCTACTCACAGAAGGGCTGTGTCATTCATCCAATATTTATTGTCTGTCTCAAGGCAGGTACAGTTCTTGGGGCTAAGGACAGAATGGTGAACCAGAGGGGCAAAATCTCTGCCTCATGGAGCTTCCATCCTAGTGTTTTGAGATTCAGTGTAAGAGGGTGGAGCAAACATTCTCATCAGATCAGACACTGACACCCCCCCCCCCCCCCCACCCCATCCCCCGCAGCAGAGATGGTCTTTCTTCCAGGTGCACCAGCTCTGAGTTTGACTGAATCCTGCCTCTGCCCTTAATCTGCTGTGACTTCAGGAAACTTAACCTCTTTGAATCTCAATTTCCCCATATGTGAAATGATGACAACACAGGTCTTTATAGAATTAACATGAGGATTAAAAAGATAATCTATGTTTACAGGCTCTCACAGTACCTTGCACAGAAATAAGAACATGAAAAATGCTATTGTTAATACAATTATTCTCATGGCCCCTCCCCATAGACAGCTGCATAAGGCTAGAGAGATACACCTCACCCGGACATACTAACTCTATCATGGCCAGGAATTCGATGTGGCCCCTTGTCAGGAAGGTGACGGGGGCGGGCCCTGCTTCTTGGTGAAGGAAAAGTTTGTTGTGCGGGGTGGGCGGAGGACACATGAGCTTACCTGATGACACCGTTCACACTGGTAGGGCTTTTCACCACTGTGCACACGCTTGTGACGCTCCAGGTGGTACTTCTGGATGAAGCGCATATCACATATATCACACTCAAATGGTTTCTCACCTGGCCCACGTGGAGAGAGAAGTTGATTATCATGAGGTACACAAGGTAGGGACTTCATTCCAGGTATTTTCCCAGAAATCTTTAATTTTTAGCCATGTACAGACACCTAATGAGGAAGGGTCCCCAAAGCTGTTGGTCTCAGTTACATTAGATACAGAGCCACAAAATTTCTCTAGCTAACTCACTTATCTTCTTCCTCTATTTCTAATACTTGGCCTCTAAAACAAACCCAACAAGAGCTGTATACACACACACACACACACAAAACTACAGACTACTGAATATGAGCAAAAGACTTACCAGTATGAATAAGGATGTGCCTCTTGAGGTGGTAACTGCTCCTAAAGGCTCCAAAGCAGTGCTCGCAAATAAAATTTTTGGGAATCTTTACTTGAAAAGAACCATTTTGTTCCACTACCACCACCTAGAGGCAACAATCAGGCATGTCATAAAGCTATCTCTCAGCCTCCTTTTTGTCCTCATTCTATCCTAGGTCAATTTCCAGTTGCTGGACAAAGTAATCTTTCTAATGTTTCCATCTCCCTCATTCCCTAGATTTAAGAGACCCTCTGAGGAAGGAGGTGGGTATGGGTAAGCTGTATGCCCCATCAAACCCAACACCTCTGAATGCGACCTGAGGGAGGTCTACCTGCCCACAGGATCCCATGCCTCCCCGGCCCTCCTTCCTTTACCAAGGATGTTCTGGAGAGGGCAGAGATCAAAGACCAAAATGGTCTATGGAAGAAATCAGAGTGACCAAAACATCTAGGGAAAAGTCCAGGTTGAACCACAGATGAAAAGAAAAGAAAGATTATCCATTACCAAACGATACCAGTTTGGGGATTACCCCATTACCTGCCTTTTTAACAGTCTTCTTTGAATGAGAGGCCTCAGCCAAGCTGTCATCATCTTTGCGACTCCGGGACTTATCGCTGTCTTTTCGGTGGCCCTTTTAAAATAAATCAAAGCTAAACTCATAGCCTATCTCCCTACACAAGACAGGAAACCAAATGCTGTGCTTGCAGACAATTTCTAAGTAACAGTAACCACCTGCCCCAAAGGTTTAGAGAAGGTACTCATCCATTTCCTCTCTAAGCACTATGGTGTTAAGGGGTTATAGGTAAAGAAAAGCCCTTCCTTAGCTCTCTAAAATACCCACATTCACTCATTCCCCAGCTGGATCCCTTTTCCCCACTTCCCTAAATAGATGCACTGAGGAATTAAAGCTTGACATCTCCTGGCAGAGAGCTTGGGCCACCCGACCCCCAGGTGCCACAATGGACTCAAACGCTGTACCTGACTTGAGCACCTCAGCACATCAGGGCTACCTGCCCGCTCTCCATTCTCGGCCTGCTTGCTGGCAATCTGGCTCAGCATCATCTTCTTGCTGGCTGCAGTGGGAACCAAACTCACACCTGCTAGGCCTTCACAAGCCAGGAGACTTGCCTAAGTTGAAAGGAGATGAGGTGTCAGGTCACCTGGCAGGGCAGGGCAGGACAAAAACAGGCTGCCATCTTCTGTACAACTACCTTTCACACCCAGCCACAAACAAACTGCTTCTCTAAGGAGTGTCCCTCTCTACTGCGAGAAACTCTGTTTCCTTCAAGAGTACTCCCTAACTCACCTCACCAAGACCAAGTTACTTGTTATTATTCAGCATTTAAATACCAATCAAGTGAATAACCAAGTATTACTGACACTTTTGTCATTAGCAGTGTGCTAGGACATGTTACCAGGTACTTGACCTTGTGAATGGGCATGAGGGTCTGCCCGGCTGATCCACTGAAATGGGAGATTTCTAGCAGACTTTCCTCCTCTTCCTCTCTCAACAGAAGCTTCAGAGCTCACTATGATCGGCAGATATCACTGGTGCCAAATATATATTCTTTCAGGTCCCACAAACATGCTTATCAGCAAACTACGTTATTTCTCCCTTCAGATTTTAAATTCCCGAGGTGTTGTCAATTTTAACAGGTCTAAAAATTAAATCACTTGGAAGGATTTTAGGGTTGAGTATCACTTTCTCTTGACCTCCAAGGCCATTTATTTGTGTGCAAATCCATGTTTTCACATTCTCTACTCTATGTGTAGTTTAAAAACTGCTCAAACAAGGAATGATTAAAAAAATTTCCTCTTTTCATGGCTATATTCTTCAAACTAACTTTGTTTGGCTAGCACTAGAGGATATATTTTTCTTACTGAAAAAACATCTCTTTAAGAAACACTTCAAAGAAATAGTTCATCAGCAAACTTCCACAAGTCATTTATTTAAAAAATTCCTTTTAAAAATACTCTCTTAAAAAAAAAGTTCCTTTTAGTATAACCTGCGACCCCTTTCCTTTCTCCTTCAAGGACTTTGGACATAGAAAGGTTTAGAGGTGGAAAGATCAGATCTGCTGTTTGCACTTTATAATCTTGGGCAAGTTACTCCACCTCTTCAGGCCTCAGTTTCCTTAAATGCAAAATGTTTACGAAGAGTATCTACTCTCACAGGGCTGACGAGAATAAAACTAAGATACAAATACATAGCGGTACCCAATACAAAGTTAGTGATTAGTGAAAGGCAGTTTCTCAGAACAAGAGTGAACATGATGCTGTGATGGGGGTTGCAAACAAAGGAAGAAGAAACCAAAGGGCTCCTAATCTGCATGGAAAGGAGGAAGCTATGCATGCAGCTGGAAGAAAGCCAATTATACTATAATCAGACTGCCCTCCTGGTGAGACTGGTAGGGGAGGGTCCCTGGAAGAAAGCTGTGGGAAGCTCCAGGGATGCCCGCACATAGCTTTGCTATCCACACTTAGAACAATCTAACAGATCATCCTGTCTCTCCAATCCAATCCTGTCCCCTCACAATGACAATTATCTTCTAAATACACTGATCTGAGACCACTCTGCTACTTAACATTCTTCAGAGAGCTCCCATTCCCTACAGAATATAGTCTGATTCCTTACTGAGGCATAAAAGGCCCTTGGGTTATACTCTAACATCCCTAGGAAACAACTCCCTTACCCTAACTCTTCCCTCTATCATTACCTACCCTGTCCCCCTCACCCATTTAAGTCCTTTCCTCCTTAACTAGCAAACGACCTGCAGTACTCCTAACCCCATCACATTCTCCTATGCCTTTAAGCCTCTGCCCATCCAGTTCTCCTTGTCTGAAAGCCCTGTCTGCTTGTTTGTCTAGGAAAATCCTATGTATTCTTCAAGCTTCATCTGCTTTTGTTCATCTAAGCAGAGGTACCCTTCTCTCCTTTGCCACGTACATACCTCTATTATTGCATGTTCCTTCAATCAACAGTTTCATTGAGTCTCTGCTGCTAATCAACCACTATGCAAGGTATGATGTACATAAAGATAAATAACAGACTTTCTCTCCACTTCCCCCGACCCCAACCCAACTATCCTGGAAGCTTGCTGGGGATGGGGATAATCTTATTCATCTTTGTATCCCCAGCATAATGCCTTGCATGTAACAGGAGTTCAATTAATTCCTGTTGGAAAAAAACAAATGAAGCATTCACCAGACTCTTCACTCCCTCATGCCCCTCAGCACTTAATGTACCAAGTGTAAACTGAGTAGTTGTTTCGCAAATGTCCCATCAGTGCCTGTGATGCAGAATGGCCTACCTCCTTCATTTGACTGGAAGCTCCCTGAAGGCAGGGGCTGTGGCCTGTCTCCTTTCCTTCCTCTAGATCTCCCCCTGGTGTTTAATACAGAGGTTGGCTCACTGGGTTGGTCAATATGTTGACTAAGGCAGCATTCAAGAGTGAAACTGCAAACACGCTTCCCAGTGATCTTGAAGGAGGAGGATTCTATAGCTTTTTACCTGAGCCATGCTGATTTCTCACTTAATGCAACCCAAAAGTTCAGGAGTTTCTTGATCCACCTCTCCTAAGACACTGTTGTTTGAAGAACTGTCACCAAATCACTGTAACAACTCCTTCGTGTCCTTTCAGTCCTGCTGCCATATTGAACTGCCTTTGTCTTCAAACAGAACTTAGTGTCCTCCAAAGGGAAGATAGATGTTCCAAGAATCCCTGGACTCGGCCTGGCTCCTGCCTATGATCTGAAGAAGTCTGCCAGTCTTGGTTTTCCAACTGAATCCTCTCTTTGAAGTTCACGATCTGTTTCAGAAACCTGAAACCAGAAAAGGAGATGGGGCAGTTAGGTGCAACATTCTCAGGTCATACGACCTGCAGTAGGCTGGACCTTTTTTTTTTGGTGGCCGTGGCCGCTCTCTGTGAACCTCAGAAAGAGGACATTAGTTAAGCAGAGTTTTCTTTCTAGGTCAGGAGAAGAAACTGGCCTCCAGGGCAAAGACGAGCTGCCAACAGGAGTAAAAGTAACTGGGGCTTCTCATGGATGAACTGCAATAGGCCAACTGCTTGGATTTGCCATCTAACGAATAGAAGAAGGGGGCGGAGGCCCTTCGGGGCTTTTGTGCCGAGTGGGCCGGGCCGCGAAGCTCGCACTCTATTAAGGAGGCCAGAACTGGGGTGGAGAAAAGCTCAGAGGCTATCGCTGGACGTCTGAGTAGCAAGGCAGCAACCGGACTGGCAGTGTGCGCCGAGCCGGCCCACACGTGCGCGTTCTCCGAGTCTGCCCCAGGGCACGGAAACTCGCTGCGGAAGAAGGCAGGCAGGCGGAGGCCGGCGCTCCGTGTTCCCTCCCTGCTCCTCCTCCTCCTCCAGCCAGCCAGCCAGCCAGCCAGCCAGCCGCAGCGCCCCGCCGCACCGAGCCGGAGGAGAGCGCGGAGGAGAGCGCCGAGAAGCGCGCTAGGTGCGTGCTCGCGCCCGCGTCCCCGCCAAGCAAACCCCTCTCCGCCGGGCCGAGCGAGCGGGGTGTGTGTGTGTGCGCGCGCGCGCGCGCGGCCCCTTCCTCTCCCCCGCGAGCCCCCTCCCTTCGCCACGCGCCCCTCCTCCCTTCCCCTCCCCCTTCCCGCGCGGCGCCCCACGGCCTGTGAGCTGCTGAGGCGCTGCCGCCTGCCCAGACGACGCTGCGCTCCCTGAGGCGTGCTCCTACCTGCCAGGCGCGGCCTCCCGCGGTCTCCCCGACCGCGCGGCGCCTCCTCCAGGCCCCAGCACACCGTGCCAGCCCCGTGGCCGCAGCTGCCCTGCCGGGACCGAGGCAAGTTTACAAACACCAACCCGGGGCCCGTTTCCCCGGAAGCACTTCCCCCTCCCCCTCGTCCTCTCAGCCGAGCCGCAATATCCACTTCCGGGCTCGGAGCCTGGACCGGCGGGAGCAGCCAGAAAGGGGGTGAGGCTGAGGACGCTGGGAGGGTTGGGGGGGGTGGTTGTGCAGCTGGTGAGTGGGCGGTACCGGCGCGCGGAAGGACGGGAAGGGGGCGGGCCGGCGGCACGACGCGTGCGCCGTGGCAGGGCGCGCCCCGGCGGCCATCTTGGCTGAGGGCAGGAACGAAAACTGTGAAGTGACGTGCGTTGCCTTCTCTCGATAGGTTTTGCTAAGTGGGCTGTTGGAGGCTCCTTGAAAAAACGCCATCAGTTTCTCTTCCTCGCGTACGTCCCCCTGTCGCATCTGAGCCTGCAGCCCCAAGTAGAGCCTGAATAGTTCGTACTCAGCCTTTCCACGTAACTCAGCGAAGGTCCTCTTTATCTGAGTTTTCTTTTTTTTTTTTAAGATTTATTTATTTATTTATTTGACAAAAATAGAGAGAGACAGAGAGATCACAAGTAGGCAGAGAGGCAGGCAGAGAGAGAGAGATGGGGAAGCAGGCTCCCCTGCTAAGCAGGGAGCCCGATGCGGGGCTGGAACAGAGGACCCTGAGATCATGACCTGAGCCGAAGGCAGAGGCTTAACCCACTGAGCCACCCAGGTGGCCCATCTGAGTTATCTATCAGACCCAGCTCTGAAGATTCTGGGGCCGCCCAGTTCCTGGGAGAAGAGTTAATTTTCTTTGCATGCTTCCTCCGTGTACACTCAATCTGGGCGTGTCCCGAGGCCAGTCTGGTTAATTTAGACTGCTTAACCCTTCATTTCAGACGTTCCAGTGTCTAACATTGGCCTCCTCGCCTGAAAGAAGCCATAGGACTCCCCTCAGTAGAAGACTGTAGTTTCATTGGAGACTAAGTCATAGAGGGTGGCCCTTGGGTCTGGCGTTAAGAAGATGGAAACTTGAACTTTTCTTTAGAATCTCCCAGCTTGAGCTTGTTAGGGAGAGGTCCCGCTAAAGATGGACTATGCCAAGTGTTCTTAGTGGAAGGAAATGTCAATCCATTTTTAATCTCAGCTTTTGCTGTAGGTGCTGCCAGGATGTGAGTTTAGGAGAATTAATTGAGATGCCAAAAGAAAAATATTTATGAAAGAGAGGAATTCCCAACTACACTTTGTACACGGGCTTCATTTCCTTGAGCACTTCATGTTTTGAGCCGTTGACAGCAAATCTTTGTGCTCTTAGACTCATGATAAAATTGAGATTAAAAAATAGAGATATGTCATCAGAAAGAACCTTTTTTTTTTTTTTAAAGATTTTTATTTATTTGACAGATCACAAGTAGGCAGAGAGGCAGCAGAGAGAGAGGAAGGGAAGCAGGCTCCCCGTTGAGCAGAGAACCGCACGCGGGGGCTCGATTCCAGGACCCTGAGATCATGACCTGAGCCGAAGGCAGAGGCTTTAACCCACTGAGTCACCCAGGGGCCCCAGAAAGAAGTCTTAAAAAAAAAAAAATTCGCTCATACTTAATTTTTTTTTTTTTTTTTTAACACAGAGAGAGAGATCACAAGTAGGTAGAGAGGCAGGCAGAGAGCCCGATGTGGGGCTCCATCCCAGGACCCCGAGATCATGACCCGAGTGGAAGGCAGCGGCCTAATCCTCTGAGCCACCCAGGCGCCCCACTCATACTTAATTTGACAAGTCCACACACACATAAGAAGAAAAGGCAAAAATGTTAAATGTCTGTTTTCTACTATCCTGTGCTCCTGAAGATCGTCACTTTTATCCATTTGGCAAATATACTTCCAGGTTTTTTTTCTATGTTCATACAATTTTTTTTTATCCAGAGTATATTTATTGAGCACCTACAGTGCTGGACACTGTGTTAACATTGTAGATATCTAAGTTCTTTAACATTTTAACAATTGTTGCATAATATTCCAACTTATATTTGTGCTTTGATTTGTCTAGACTCGTCCTGATGGACATTTAGATTAGTTCCATTATTTGTTTTATAAACAGTGCCATAAAGAACATCTTCATACAATTAATCCTTTTGCACTTATAGATTTGTAGATAGAATATGTGCATTTAACACATTTTTTAAAAGATTTTATTTATTTGAGAGAGAGACAGCACAAGCAGGGGGAGTGGCTGAGGGAGAGGGAAAAGCCATGTGGGGCTTGATCCCAGGAAAATTTCTTGGGAAATTGACCTGAGCAAGGGCCCCTGTATGTTTTAAATCTTAATCAATTCTGTGAAATTGAATTTCAGTTCGTAACAATTTACATGCTCACTCAGAACCATGTATGAATGCCCCCATTTCCTATCGCATAGCAATACTGAATACTATGAATTTTTAGTGTGGTTGCCAATTTGATAGATGAAAAATAGTTGGGGCACCTGGGTGGCTCAGTGGGTTAAGCCTCTGCCTTCGGCTCAGGTCATGGTCTCAGGGTCCTGGGATTGAGCTCCACATTGGGCTCCCTACTCAGTGGGGAGCCTGCTTCCCCACCTCTCTCTTCCTGCTTCTCTGCCTACTTGTGATCTCTGTTCTCTGGCAAATAAATAAATGAAATCTTAAGAAAAAAAAAAGAAAAGAAAAATAGTGATTTCATCATTTAAATTTGCATCACCAATAGTGGAGGGGAGAAACTTCTATTGCATCTTCTCAAAGTTATATTAACTTTTTATTTGTCATATGTGTTTAAAATACTTCCTCTTCGTTTTTCGTTTATCTTTCAGCTTCCCCCTTCCCTGAGCAAATTATGCTTTACAGGAATTTATTTGAAGAATTCCTATCAAAAATAGGAATAAGACAGGAATGTTTACCATCAAAGCTAATATTGTATTGGAGCTCCTGGCCACTGAAAAGTCTCACTATTTTCATATGATACATTCATCAAGAAAGAGAATTGACTGACAAAATACTAAAATAGTGAGTTCAGCAGTATGACCAGATGGGAGATTAACAAACAGAAATTGTACACATAAAATATAAGAACCACCAACCATAAAAATGCCATGAAGTAAATACTCTCACAATAAGAATATTACGCTTCTAGAAATAAAGTTGACGGGAAACTTCAAGCCATATATTAAGAAAATCAGACTATTTTGGTGAAAGACAAAAAGATTTTGCTTAAATGGAGAGTTTTTAGCATGTATGAATAGAAAGTCTTAATTTTGTGAGAGACATGAGTTTTTGCTGTCGATTAAAGTAAGTTCTGGGGCCCCTGGGTGGCTCAGTGGGTTAAGCCTCTGCCTTCAGCTCAGGTCATGATCTCAGGGTCCTGGGATCAAACCCCACATTGGGCTCTCTGCTCAGTGGGGAGCCTACTCCCCCTCCCCCCCGCCTTCTGGTCTGGCTACTTGTGATCTCTCTCTCTCTGTCAAATAGGTAAATAAAATCTTAAAAAAAAATAAAGTAAGTTCTAATTAAGATAGGACTTTGGGGGTGTCTGGGTGGCTCAGTCGTTAAGCATCTGCCTTTGGCTCAGGTCATGATCCCAGGGTCCTGGGATCGAGCCCCACATCGGGCTCCCTGCTCGGTGGGAAGCCTGCTTCTCCCTCTCCCACTCTCCCTGCTTGTGTTCCCTTTCTCCTGTGTATCTCCCTGTGTCAAATAAACAAATAAATAAAATCTTAAAACAAAATAAAATGATGTAGAACTTTGCATGGAACTTAATCTGATTTTTAGATTTTCACGGAAAAGAGTGCTTGTGTGGCTAAGTGGGTTAAGCGTCTGCTCTCAGCTTAGGTCACAATCCCAGGGTTCTGGGATCAAATCTTGTGGTTGGTCAAGTTCCCTGCTCAGTGGGAAGTCTGCTTCTCCCTCTCCCTCTGCCCTTCCTCCTCACATGTGCTCGCACTCTCTCTCTCTCAAACAAATAAATAAATCTTAAAAAATTAGAATAAAATAAAATTTTCATGGAAAAGAATAAGTGCAAGGAGAGCAAAAATCACTTTGGAAAACACAGAGTGGGTAAAATAAGGGGTGAGGTAAAGCCATGAGTTATCTTTAACCACTTTAATGGTGTCTTTCTTTACACAGAGTTTTGAAGGTTTTATGTAGTCAAGTCTGCCTGTGGCTTTTGGGTTTTTGTGACGCTACCTCAAGATTATAAAAATATTTCCCTGTAGTTTCTTTTGATATTCTTATAGTTTTATATTTTCAGCTTATGTTTTTATCTTAGCTGCAGTTTATTTTTGTGTATGGTGAGAGGTAGTGAGAACTGCCAGACTTAAAAGTAACCAATAACATAGTGGGAGAGGTACTAACCTAGAATTCAGAAAATCAGAGATCTAGTCTTGTTCTTGTGTCACCTGTGTAATCTTGGACAAATTAACTCTAGACTGAGAGTTCTCATCTTGAAAACCAGGGTGAATAAATAAATATCTTTCAGGCTAATTTCCAGCACAATGTGAGGATCAGATGAGGTCACAGATGAGAAGGTTTTGAGAGAGAAAAAACCCTTTGCAAATCTTCTAAGATATCATTAATTCAGATTTTTGTCTATGTAAATCAAATATAAGTGGAATGCAGCATTATTTTTCAGTACCTGGAAATAGTGGGTCAATTCACTCAGATGTTCATTGAGTACCT